TGGGGTGCCTGGTGGCTGGAGATGTGTCCCTGGGGTGCCTGGTGGCTGGTGACATGTTTTCAGGGTACCTGCTGCACAGAGACATGTCCCTTTTATGCATGATCACCAGTGATGGGTCCCTGGGGTTTCTGGTGGCCTGAGACATGTCCTTAGAGTACCTGGTGCCCAAGAACTTGTCCCTGTGGTACTCGGAGACTGGTGACATCTCCTCAGGCTGCCTGGTGAGTGGGGATGTGTCCCTGGGGTGCCCAGTGGCTGGCAATGTGTCGTTGGGATGCCTCAAGGTCGGTGACGTGTTTTCAGGGAGCCTGCTGCACGGGGACATGTCCCTTGTGTGCATGGTCACAAGTGATAGCTCCCTGGGGTTCCTGTTGGCTGGGGACATGTCCTTGGCATACCTGGAGGCCAGGAACTTGTCCCTGCAGTGCCTAGTGGCTGGTGACATGTCCTTGGGAAGCCTTGTGCCTGGGGATGTGTCCTTAGGGTGCCTGCTGGCTGGGGACATGTCTGTCGGGTGCCTGGTGGACAGTGAGATGTCCCTCTGGCACCTGGCCTCTGGTAATGGGTCTCTGGGGCACCTGGTGACCAGGGAGGTGTCCTCAGGGTGCCTGGTGGCCAGGACTGTGTCCCTCTGGTGTTTGTTTGCTGGTGATGGATCTTTGTGGTGCCTGGTGGCTGGTGACATGTCCCTGGGGGTCCTGGTGGCTGAGGACACATCCTTAGGATGCCTGCTGTCCAGGAACATGTCCTTGGGGTGCTCAGTGACCAAGGACATGTCCCTAGGGTTCCTGGTGGCTGGTGACACACCCCTGGGGCTCTCAGTGATTGGGGATTTGTCCCTGGGGCATCGCATGACTGGAGACATGTCCCTTGGGATCCCAGTGACTGGGGACATGTCCTTGGGATGCCTGGTGACCAGAGATGTGTCCCTGGGGCACACGGAGGCCGGGGACCTGCAGGTGCAAGGGACATGCTGGGTTTTACAGCAAAAGGTTGGGTTGCAGGGCCCCCATCTGGATGGGGACACCCAGACTCACCGTGTCACTGGCGGGTGCCAGGCATGGGGTGGTCTCGGGGGTGTCACTGGTGACCTGGTTACACCAGAGGCCAGTGAAATGCTGCCCCGACGTGGTTTTGGAGAGCTGAAGATCGGCAGCCGTGAGTCCCTGCTGTCCATCATGGCAGCGGCGGTGTCACCCTCGTGTCCCCTTTGCTGACGCTGCCTGGCTGCCAACCCAAAATCTGCCCCCCACTCGCCTCCACTTCCAGTGACAGGGATGTGGCTGGGGCCAGCTATGAGCACCGGGGTGCTGTGCACTTGATGCAGCTCTGGAAGGGGAATGAGGGACACAGAGCCATGGGCCATTACCCTGGAGTCCCCTCTGTCCCCCCATGTCCCCCCATGTCCCCCCACACCCACCTCTCTTGCGAACACGCTCCCAGGGTGCTGGGTTTGGGGTGCTGGGTGAGGAATGCACCCCGGGGTGCCCCCCAGCACAGCACCCCATGTCCCTGAGGGGCGGTGGGTGTCCCCCACGGAGGCTGCTGTGGATGGGGGGTGTGGGAGGGCCAAGGCTCGGCGGCTCCAAGGAGAGGGCTGGAAGAGTAAAAGAGGTCAGAGCACCCATGGGGCCATGTGTCCCCTGTCCCCTCTGTCCCTGGGTCTGTGTGTCCTCAAATCCTTGCTGCCTGCAAACAGACAGTGGTGAGGTTCCCATTGCACTAGGGGTTCCAGGCATAGGGTGGGGGTCTGGGGTACACTTCGCTGGTCCCATGGCACTCTGTGAGGGTCCTAGGCCAGGGCTGGGGGTCCTGTCTCCAAGTCAGGGCTCTATGGAACCGGGTGGGGATCCAAGGGCATCACATGGGATGGATGGGGGCCCCACGGTATTGGTGGGGGTTCCATGGCAGAGAGTGGAGGCTTTACAGCACGAGGTGGGGGTCCCAACCCTGGTGCTCACTGAAGGGGTGGGGGTCCCATGGCAGTGGGTGGGGAGCCCAGTCCCCAGGGGGCTCACTGAAGGGGTGGGGGTCCCATGGCAGTGGGTGGGGAGCCCAGTCCCCAGGGGGCTCACTGGAGGGGTGGGGGTCCCATGGCAGTGGGTGGGGAGCCCAGTCCCCAGGGGGCTCACTGGAGGGGTGGGGGTCCCTGCCATCACTGCCCAGGAGTCGGCTGCTGAGGCTGCTGCTGCTGCTGAGGTTTTGGGGGGCACAGCTGGGTTTCCAGGGGCCACCAAGCCACGGCGAGTCACCAGCCACCAGCCTGCAGAGCGAGAGGTGCTGTCAGTGCATCAATCCCCGCCACACCGGGGATCTGCCATGTCCCCCACCCCATGGCCTCTCACCTGTGGCGAGCTGCAGCGTCCTGGCTGGCACGGCGCTGGCAGAGGAGGAGGAGGAGGGCGAGTAGGGCCAACCAGAGCATGGAGCCAGCGGCTGCGATGACAGCAGGCTGCCGCAGTGCCTGGACCACCCTGCTGCTCCCTGCTGTCAGCCCTATAAGGGTCCCATCAGTGTCACTTCATGTCACCACCTGGACCCCCACCACCACCCCACCTTGCTCTCCATCTCCTACCCAGGACTCCACACGTGGCGTTGCTGGGAACCCCCAGCCCTGCACTGTTGAAAGCTGCCACCTGCACACAGAATTCAGCCCCAGGCTGTGGCAGGAGGGTTTCCAGGCGGCGGGTGGCTCCGTCCACTGTCCTGTTGGTGGGACGCTGCCAGCCCTCAGCCATCGACCAGACCTGGCAGGCACCAAGAAGATGTGTCCCATTAGATGATTAGCCTTGATGGTCCCCCTGTGGATGGACCCCTTGTGGATGGACCCCTTCAGATGAATATCCCTTGATGGATCCCCCATGCATAGATTCACTTGGACAGGTCTCCTTAGGTGAATTTCCTTGATGGGCTCCACTTGGAAGGACCCCTTTGGATGGGCTCCATTGTGTGCCACTAGGATGGACCTCCTTGGGTGAATACTTCTTGGATGGACCCCCATTGATGGATACTCCTTTGGATGGACCCCCTTGGCCGAATCCTCTAGGCTGGACTCCTTTGGATGAACTCCCTTGGATGCCACTTAACAGATGCCCTGGGATGGACCTCCACCTTGGTTGCCCTTTTGGATGAACCCCCATGTTGAGATACCTCCTTGATAGACTCCTTGGATGGTTCCCCCCTTGCCCACCTTTGACAGACTCCCTTTTTGGATAGATCCCCTTGGATTGACCCTCCTGGGGCAGAAAACTCCATCCCTGCCCCCTTGCCCCATTGCCCCGAACCTGGTAGCCCTGGATGACGCCATTGTGGCCTTCAGGAGGAGGTGGCTCCCAGCTCACGACCACGGTGCCGTTCCCTGTCTCAGCCTGGATGGTGACACGCTGGGGCGCTGCACTAGGCACTGCTGGGACAGGGATGTTGAGACCCTTGGGACCCCCAGCCAACCTCCCCAGACATCCCAGGGGACACAACTCACCTTCCTCAGGTATCCAGAGGTGCCTGCTGTTGCTGTCTGAACCCTGCGTCCCTCCAGTGTAGGGCCGGACCTTGAACTCGTACTTGTAGCCCCTGCGGAGCGCAGGGATGATGGCGCTGAGCTCCCTGCCTGCATCGTGCTGGATCCAGGAGGTGGTGACCGGGAGCAGGCTGCGGTACAGCACCATGTAACCCACGGGCACCGGCACCGGCATCAGCAACTGACGGCATGGGAAGGATTCCAAGTTAAGGCGGGACACGGGGATGTGTCCCATCCCTCCCCTCCCCTTGGGGGCAGCCGAGCCTCACACACCAACCTGCCAGCGGAGCTGCACGGCAGCAGTGGGCAGGGCAGTGCCGTTGTCCAGGTGCAGCCGCACAGCCAGCAGGTCCCGTGGTGCAGCCTCCTGCTGGCCCGTTGCCAGCCGGTCTGTGAGGCAGAAGAAGGCGAATGGCAGCACCAGGCAGGACCAAGGTCCCCCGGCAGCTGCCCAGACACCTACCTCAGATACCTGCACATGGAGATCCCGATGTCTACCTGGATGGACTCACTCAAATGGACCCTTTTGTATAGACACCCTTTGATGGGTCTGTCCTGAATGGACCCTTCTTGAATGGGCCCCCTTTGATGTGTTGCCCCCAGGGACGTGGGATGGGATCCCATGATACATCCCTGTGATCTGTCCCTCTTAGATGCACCCTTTGGATGGATATTTCTTGTTCTCTCTCCCTTTAATGTACTTCCACCTTGCACAGATCCCCTTAAATGGATGCTCTTGGAGGAACCAGGGTGGCTGGATCCCCTTTAGGTGGATGATCTTGGATGAATCCCCTTGGGTGAACTCCCACCTCAATGCATCCCCTTAGATTGCTCCCCTTACATGGAGCTTCTGGGATGGAAGCCTTGGATGGATCCTGTTGGATGGATGTGTTTAGATGGACCTACCTTTGGAAGCGCCCCCTTTGATGGATCCCCTCAAATGATTCGGCTGGATGGACTTAATTTGATGGATGATGGATGGTCTTGGATGGACCCCCATGGACAGACTGCCCTTGGATGGCCCCTTTGCATGAACCCCATTAGATGGACCCTGTTAGATGGATCCCCTTGCATGAACCCCAGGATGGTCCTGGGTGCCTGTGATGGTGGAGGCCACGGAGGTCCCACACTGACCCTCCACGTGGAGGAAGGTGGTGGCAGCAGCGGTGCCCAGCTGGCTCTGTGCTGTGCACACGTACGCGCCGGCGTCGGCGGGCGTCACGGCGTAGAGGCGCAGAGTGTGCTCCCGGTCCACCTCGTGCCTGCGGGTCACCAGCTCTCCATCAGCCTCATCCCCACGCCAGGGATGGGACACCACCCCCCTGGCACCACCTACCTGTCCCAGGGCAGGTCTCCATGCTCCTTGTGCCACTGCACCTGTGGCGCCGGGTCACCTCGGGCGCTGCAACCCAGCTCCACGGTGCTGCCAGGCACCGCCACGGCCTCGCTTGGGTGCCGCACAATGCTCGGCTTCTCTGCAGGGGGACATCAAGGACATGGCACCGTGGCTGGGTGTGACGTGCCCACCCCCTGCGGCAGACCCTTGGCTTACCCAGCACAGAGACTCGGGCACCCCTGCTCTCCCTCTTGCCTGCCGCATTGGCCGCCACGCAGATGTAGAGACCGGAGTCGCTCCGTAGTGCTGATGCCACCTGCAACTTCCCCTTGGTGACCATGTACCTGCCACCTACCAAGTCCAAGGTCACCCCGTCCTTCTTCCAGGTAATGTAGGGTTCGGGGTACCCCAAGGGGGGGACACAGTCCAGCTCCAACGCTTGCCCCGCGGTGGTCACCAAATCACCTGGCTGCAGGCGGAAATTGTCCCGCAGCACTGCTGTGGGGAGGGCACATTGTGCGTGGGGGGAACAGGATTGTCTGGTGTCTCCCCACCTGCATCACCCACCCACCAGGTGTCCTTACCAGCTGGAGTTTGGGGTGCCGTGGCCACGCTGGGGAGGCGGCAGCCTGTCGGGTGACAAGGAGGCGGGAGAATGACAATAGGTGCCCCAAGGTCTCAGATCCGGGGTGGGGCAGGGGGCAGAGTTAAGAGGATTTTGGCCCCCATGGGCTGCACTCACCTCCGCGGTGCAGGGCGGCGAGGCAGAGCCCCAGGCCCAGCGCTGTCTCCCAGCCGCCCGCCATGCCGGCCCTGGCCAGCCTTCCCGTTTCCTCCCAAAATCCCGGTTCCTCCCTGCCAGCACCGGGGCTGGATCCGGCTCCGGATGGGGGGGTACAATAGCAGGATGTGGGGGCCGGGAAATGCCGAAAGGGGGGGGAAGGTGACGGTGAACACAAACAGCTCAGCCGTCCTGTGGCAGTGGGAGCGCCCGGCCACGGTGGCAGCACCCGCAGACAGTAGAGTGGGGGACACCAGCAGTTAATGAATTTAATTAGTCAGAATAAATTCCCCTTTTCCTTCACCATATTCAGAGGAAGACAAATTAAGAAGTAATGGGCTCTCAGCTGAGGACACCATCAGTAGGTACCAGAGGGAACATTCCAAGGTCTGCAAGTGCCAGGTGGAGTGCCAGCCAGGTGCATGGGGTTTGTGTGGTCTTACCTGTCAGCCACTTCTTATGTGTCCCCCCACCCTGGGGGACCCCTGTCCCACAAAGACACCCAAGGGTGCCACCACTGGACGGGTAGTACGTTTAGTTTATTGGTTAGTAGTGCACCCCGAGCACTCCGGGGTGCCCTGGCACCCACCCCGGGTGCCCCAGGGCCCGGCTCGCTTGGCCAGTCACTCTCTGCTTTTCATCCTAAACCTATTTCCCATGAAGGCTTGGGGAGAGACAGCGTCGTGTGCCCCAAAACCGGGGGATTTTCACAGAAAATCCTACCATGGCAAAGGGGCAATGCTTGGGCCAAGGCTTGCAGCCCACATTTAGGGGACATTGCAGCTGGGGAGCTGGGGGACAGGAGGGACGCCCCTGTTGAGACCGCCTGATGCATGTTGTGCCCTCGGGCGAGCTTGTGTGCCAGTGCATGTCCTGCTCCATGCACGGGGGTTGTGCCACTGCGGGTGGGCACCGTGCTCTTGCACACACGTGTGTGCTCCCTGTGTGCGTGTGCACACTCCAAGCGTGCTCAGCTGCTTTGTGCTCGCTCTCTCCACACGCACCACACACCCCCTGTGAAAGCACTGCACACGCACTCTTTGCACACTCACTGCAGGCTCCATGTGCCAGCCCTGCAGGTTCACTCTTATGCCTGCTCTGAGCACACTCTGCTTGCTTTGTGCACACTCTTTCCACACACACCGTGCACTCTCGGTGTGTGCTTTGTGCAAGCACTGCACACACCCTCTTTGCTCACACTTTTTGCATAAATGCTGTGTGCGTGTTCACGCCACATCCTCCATGCACACTTTGCACACTGTGCACACTCGGAACACACACCCGGTGTTGGCACGGTCACAAAGGCCAAGCAGGCTCAGTGGCCACTCTGCACACTCCACACACACTCTGTGCACACTTTGTGCAGTCTTAGCTGCCCGCTCCATCTGTGCTCTCCCCATGGGCTCCTCATGCTCTGTGCATCCTCTTCGCACGCTGTGTGCACACTTGCTGCACACCCTCGTGCACCCTGTGTGCACAGTCCATTGCCCTCCTGCACGCCCCATGCATGCTTGCTCTGTGCTCCACGCACACCCTCTGGCACACTCTCCCCGTGCACTGATTGCATGTTCTCTCCGCACACGCGTGTGCTTTCTGCACGCTCCCTGCACGCTCGTCCCGGCGAGAAAGCCATTAAAGCGATGTCCCAGGAAGATGGGGGACGGAAGAGGGGAGCTCTGGGTGGGATCAATAGGAAATTAGTGACTTTACGCCGAGCGGAATGACGCCCAGTGGTAGGAGCAGGGCTGTGCCGGTGTCCCCGCTCGCTCGGTGGCGGAAGCGTGGCCGTGCTGCTGTCCCTGCTCCTTGCACGCTGCCACCAAAGCGCGCACAGTCCGCCCTGTTCAGGCACTGATCTCCACGGCGTTGGCCTCCTCCTGCTCCCGAATGACGTGCACGCCGGCAGTCCGCAGCAGCCGCGGAGCGCCGCGGGACCGTGCCGGTGAGCCCGGTGGTGACCTGTGGGTCCGAGTCGAGGCGGGTGAGCGGGCTGGCGAGCGATGGTAACGGCGAGTCGAACGCCCCACTGGTCCTGGCGAGCGGCCGGCTGCTGGTACTGGCGAGCTGGTGTAACCTGGCTCAACTGTGCCGCGGGGTTCAGGCAGGGAATCCTCCTCCGCCTCTGGCGAGTCCTGCCAAAAGCCAAGAGGAGAAAAGCGTGGGACATGTGCGAGACCCTGTGCTGGGACGCTGCCGGCGTGCTACTGGAGCTACTGGTGCTACTGGCGCTACCGGCTCTCACCTTATCTTTAAGGATGTACAAAGCCACTGGGTTCTTGCGCTCGTGCTCGCCGCTCCGTGTGATGCCTTCGGCTGTGTGGAAGCAAGGTGCTGCTCACCATGCCGGGAGCTTTGGTGCTCCCCCAGCCCGCCCCCGCCACGCCGAGGCCGGCACTCACCCTCGTGTTTCAGGCGCTCCTCGTCCTGCTCAGCGTAGTCAGAGGTTGGTTGTGTCTCCGCTTGTCGCTTCTCCCTGGAAAGGGATAAGGGGGTGGGGCAGCACTGGCATCGTGTTAGAGGCAGTGGGGGAACTGCAGGGGAGGGTCGAATACTGCAGGGAGGGAGAGTTGAGATGGGATGGGATGGGATGGGATGGGATGGGATGGGATGGGATGGGATGGGAT